CGGTTACCACCGCGCACGGGGGGCACCAAGGACAGTTAGAGGCCACCGGTGATTCCGTCTGTGGCCATGAGAGGCCAGCCCCCCAACCACCCACGGGCCTGCACTTGGCACCCCTGCTCAGGCCTCTGCCAGGCTGCAGTCGCTGTAGGAGCTCTTGGGCCCCCCGCGTCCCTCTCCCAGCAGGCCCTCCCCAGGCCATGCCTGAGCCCTCCGTCCTGTGTACCCCCTCTGTCCCATGGACCCCCTGTCCTGTGTCCTGCGCGGGGGGCTTCTGCAGGCAGCTGTGAGCAGTTCAGCCCGGCGGGGCCCCGGCACACAGACGTGGGAGGAAAGGAAATGAGGAGCCACCGACCTACGGACTCCAAGGGAATCGGGCTGAGAACGGGCCCCGGGAAGATGCAGGGACCCCGCTGCCCTCCACAGGGCTCCCGTCTCCCCCGCCCCTCCTTCCCGTCATACGTGACTGTCACCCTGAGTGTGTTTTGAGTCAAGAGGCTGCAGCTGGATGACGAGGGGCGCGTGTGCGCCATGCCCTGCCCGGAGGGAGGCTGACTGTGCGAGTGGTTGCCCGGCAACGTCCCTGTGCCCACGGAGGCGTGGTCTCCGCCCGTGTGGCCACCCGGCTGCTTCAGTTCTCGCAGCCCCAGCTCCCGCAATGCCGGGGCCCTGACTGTGTCGACTCGGTAAAACCAGGCAGTGGCAGCACCAGCCAGCCAGTGAGATGGAACCTTCTGGCACACTTCGGCCCACAGGGTCTGGAGTCGGCGTGGGTGGAAACCAGGCAGTGGCGCACGTGGACAAGAAGGTGTGATCTTGACTCCCCCTCGGAGGCGAGGGTCCCGTGCAGCGGGGATTTCTCCCCTCACCACGGTGGACATCGGGGCAGGTCACTCTCTGGGGGCATCCTGGGCGCTGTGGGGGGCTGAGCAGCATCCCTGGCCCCACCCACCCGGTCTGTTGGCCACAGACCTCCCACCACGTGGCCCCGTGGCCCCTGGGGCACAACAGCCCAGGGCGAGCGCCTGCAGGGGAGGGTCACGCTCCTGTGTGAGCCGCCCCTGCTGCCTTGGGAAGCACCACGTGTCCCGGTCTGCCGGATCAGAGCCTGCGGGCTGCAGGGAGAAGGTCTGGGCACCGTGGGCTGCGGCAGGGCCCCCGAGTCATGTATGTTCTGTATGTGTTTTCTGTTGGGAAGGCGGCGGCAGCCCCACGAGCCTTTGCGAGCAGAACGTTTTAAGGTTTTGACTGTCGATCTTGGCAGTTCTTGCAGGAGAACAGCTTGTCCGCAGAAAGAACTGATAATAACGTGCATCTCCACACGCCTGGGACAGACGTGAAGCGGGTAACCGAGCGGGGGGAGAGCAGTGCGCTCAACGAGCAGGCTGGGGCTGGAGTCTGCTCCACCCAAGGGCCACTCTGGAGACAAGAGGCTCCAGCCGTGCTTTCGGCAGGAATGTTTTCAAAAGCTCCCAGGAGAAGGAGCAGCAATCAGAACAACACACTGCTGTTTGAAGGTCAGGGAATTCTTTTGTACTCTCTGCCGTGAGCAAGAAGGCTGGAGAATGCGCGTCCTTGTCCGGAGTGTTCTCCCCCTCCCCCGGCACCGTGGACATGGGGGGCGGGCCACACTGTGGGGGTGCCCCGAGCAGGTGGGGGCTGAGCAGCATCCCTGGCCCCACCCACTCGGTGCCACACCCCCAGTATGACGACCACAGATGTCCCCGGACACGGCCCAGTGCCCCCTGGGGGCAAGATCGCCCTCAATTAAGAATCACAGAGTTAACGTAATGTATGCAAAATATCATTTCCCCGGTGGCCCCATTGCGGGTGCTCGGAGCTGCCGGCAGTTCATGCCTACCATGCTGGAAATCGCGGCTCTGGACACGGGATTCAGCTCCAAGACAAGGTCTCATCCAAAGGAAAGCCGGCATCACGAGGGCCCGGAACACCGAGCCCAGGTGACTGCCGAGGTGAAAGTCTAGTGCCCTCAGGGGACGGGGGGTCAGAGCTGGGAGCATCAGCTCCCAGCCCCCAGAGCTTCCCAGGCAGCGGGAAGACCCACCCAGTGGCCAGGGTCCCCGTTACAGACACAGTGTGAGAGACACCGGGACCCTGCCCCCAGGGGACCTGGGCCATGGCTGGGGACATCCGTGGTTGTTCCCAGCGTGGAAGGAGGAGCTCCTGGCGTCCAGTGGGTAGGGCCAGGGAGACTGCCCCGCATCCCCACAGCGCCTAGGACGCGCCCCCAAGGTCGCGAGGCCAGCGCTTCCCTCTCCCCCCCCCCCCCCGGGATGCTGGTCCCAGGCAGGGGAGGCTCGGGATCTGCAAGGCGGGGGGCGAGGCGCCTGGGACAGGGTGACCAGGGACTCTCGGTGCTGGGACGTCCTGGAGCATGGGACAGGGCGGTCACGGAGCTCCAAGGGGGCAAGCGGAGGGCCGGAAACACCCGCCCGCCGCCTCACCTCCACCCACAGCCGGCTCAAGGCCCAGGCCGCGGGCCTTCTCTGCCCCCTCGTGGCCGCCAGGGGCACTGCCGCACTCTGGCCCGGACCCCCTGCCCCACACCCCAGGAGCAAATAGCCCAAACTCCCGCTTATCACTTAGCTCTGGCATCTGCTGGAGGACAGGTGGCGGGGGCCTTCGCTCAGCGACGCCCGGCTGCTCAGAGATGGTAGACCCTGGGCGGGCTCTCGCACGGCCGGACGCCCACAGACACCTCACCCGGCGCCTGACAAACAGGATGTGCCCCGCAAGTGACTGTGTAGTTAGAACCAGGAAAAGCCTGGCATATGCCCCCTGCGAGGAGCTCCCACAGGCAAGCCCCTGCCAGGTCTGCCCATGGCGTGCCGGCTCACGGAGTCATCCCACGCCACGCTGCCCGGCGTCCCCCACCCCGGCCCGCACGGCGGGGGTCAGACCCGTCAGAGAATCTGCGTCGAAGATTTAAGCTTAAAAGATGCACTCCGAGGGCACCTGGGTGGCTCAGTTGGTTGAGCGACTGCCTTCGGCTCAGGTTGTGATCCTGGAGTCCCGGGATCGAGTCCCGCATCGGGCTCCCTGCTCAGCGGGGAGTCTGCTTCTCCCTCTGACCCTCCCCCCCCATGCTCTCTCTCTCTCTCTATCTCATTCTCTCTCTCAAATAAATAAATAAAATCTTTAAAAAAAAAAAAAAGATGCACTCCGAATAAAACGCAGGTGAATTGCTTTTTAGCGTCTTGAAATTTGGGGGGATGCCAAAGGAAACGCAAAGGCCAGCGCCAGTATACCCAATCGGTAGGAGAAAGCCCGCGGTGAGGACAGTGGTACGACCTGCTCAGAGCAGTACTCACAGCGGGGGTGACGGGCACCCGCCAGCGTCCACGCAGAGAAAGACGGAGGGCTCAAACACCGCGTATGAGGAGCTCAAGAACGTCGCCAATGGGGGGGACAGACCCCTAGCAGGGAGGTCAGTGAGGGCGCTCACGGAAGGCACAGCTCAGGGAAACGCAGAAAGCCCCAGCAGCCCTGAAACTGGCTGAGCAGATGGCCCTGCGGACGGCGAGTGGCTGTGGGTAGAGGAAGCCAGCACATGCTGATTCTCTCCGTCTCTCTCACACGCGCGGCAAACCTACGTGTGGGAGTTCGGCCCTGACGACAACCGGCCAAGGACGCACAACGTTTGCACGAACACATTCATCACAGAATGTAAAAAAGAGAGAGAAAAGAAGAACAGGAAAACAAACACCCCCACAGACCAATTAAATCAACCGTAAAATTATTTTAAAAGGAGTGACTAACAATTTGACCGTGATGGGGAATGCTAAGCGGGCGTCAGGAAAGATGAGGGAGACGCAGGTTTACTGACGAGGAAAGCGGCCCATCGAGCAGAAGGAGCACGTTAAAGAGTAAATCCTATTTATCCAGAATCACGCGTGTGGATGGAACTTACGGAGGGACGGGGGGAGAACGCTCACCAAGACGTCAGCATGCCGTCACCAGGCGGGGGCTTCAGTGGCCTTGCTTCTCCTTTGTCTGCACTGTCCTTTCTACGGGACGTCAGTCCACCTCCACCCGGCCGGCTGCTGGTGGTCTCCAAACGCCCCCCTGGCTGGCAACTCTGTGACATGGACGCCACACAGGAGATCATCTGCGTGGGACCCGCTGGGCACCCACACGTCACACCCGGCCCAGGGCTCCCATCGAGGCTCCTGGCCTCTGTCCTCAGAGACGGCCTCTCTCCTGAGCCGAGCCCAACCGTGTCTCCTGTAGCCTTACTGAGGCGCACGTTACGGGCCCTAAAACCCACCCGTCGGAAGTATACAAGGCGAGGAGTCTCTGGTGAGGGCACCAGCTCGCCCGACCACCCCCCACAGCGAGTACCCATTCCCACCCCAGCCGCTGGCGGCCACCAAGCACCTTCCCGTCCCTGCACATGGGCCTTTTCTAGAAACTTCATGGAGACAGACCCACGGGATGTGCGTCTTCAGGATCTGCCTCCTCTTCTAACATTTTTTCCTTTAAACACGTGCACACAGAGCTTGGGAATATCCAACGTTATAAAGACGTCCAACGTCCCTCAGATGTACCGACAAATGAAACACAACCCTAATCAAAGTTCCATCAGAATCTCTGCCGGAAACCGAAGTTGACCCTAAAGACCACAGGAGAGAGAACACCGCGAGACAGCGGAGCCCTTCGTGGGCGGGCGGAAGGGCTGACTGGGGGCCGCCGCAGGATGAAAGCCACTCAACACCCTTTGGGAATGAGACCGACAGACGGACGGACGGACAGAGTTCAGAGAGCAGGATCCGAGCTCAGAGTCCTCCCGAGGCCGCGCAGTGCCTCAGTCGCCGGACGGGCACCAGGTTTGAGAGATCCGCCACGTTCTTCTCCGGGCAGTGGCTCGGGACGGGCTACCCTCCACACCAAGCCAAGCGCCTCCCTCTCTCCCCCGCCCAGAACGGACAACTGAACCCCGCGTTCGCTTCGACAGCAGGGGCAGGAAACGCCACGACACTGACCTGTGCACGAGGCCGAGCTGTCCTGAGCGCCGAGGTTCAGGAACCACACGTCCGCTCCCTGGAAGGAAAACGGAACACTTCAGTGGGGCACCATTTGGTCAGAAACACGTGTCCATCGGTGGGGCAGCGAAGAAGGCTCGTGCTCACGGTCGGACTGCCATAAAGACCATTCTGGGGGTCCTGCCTTTCGGCTGCCCTGCCAGCCTCAGGGACAGGCCTCCCGGTGCAGAGGTGGGACTGAAGAAGGCAATTTGCCAGAACGGTCTGTGAGACGTTTGCGAGGTCATCCCTGCTAAATTTTCCAAAGGCTCCCAAACTCAATGGATGAAAGGGTCGGACAATCATGTGACCTTTCATGCTTTGTAAAGATGTTCGCCCACATCACTTGACCCTCACGGTCATTCTGTGAGGAAGAGGTGGAAACTGAGTCAAGTCCCTGCCCCAGGGCACCCACCAACTCACCGGGGTTGGCCTAAGGAGACGTGAGGACCAAATGCCAGGTGGGGTCCTGGATGGGGTCCCGGGGCAGGAAAAGGACATCAGGAGCAAACTGCTGAAATCTGAACAGAGTGGGGCTGGGTCCACGGAAGCACATGCTCGTCACAAACACACTGTGGGTCCAGAAGGCGTGGCCATATGGGGGGGACGGGGCGATGGGCAGACAGGAACTCTCTTTGAAACTCTCCTGAAAATCTATAATTATTTTTAAATTAAAAGGTTATTTAAAAATAACTCAATTCTGGGGCACCTGGGCGGCTCCGTCGGTGAAGCGTCCGACTCTTGGTTTCAGATCAGGCCATGATCTTGGGGTCGTGGGACTGAGCCCCGTGTCAGGCTCCGCGCTCAGTGCGGAGTTGACTTGGAATTCTCCCTCCCTCTGCCCCTCCCTATGCTCTCTCTCTCAAATAAATAAATCTTTTTAAAAAAATAACTCAATTCAGGGCGCCTGGGTGGCTCAGATGGTTAAGCATCTGCCTTCGGCTCAGGTCATGATCCCAGGGTCCTGGGACAGAGTCCCGCATCGGGCTCCCTGCTCGGCGGGGAGCCTGCTTCTCCCTCTGACCCTCCCCCCTCTCATGTGCTCTCTCATTCTCTCTCTCAGATAAATAAAAATAAAATCTTTAAAAAAAAAAAAAAAGAAAATGTGGTATAAAGTATGTTTTTAAAAATTCGTAGCCTCGGGCGCCTGGGTGGCTCAGATGGTTAAGCATCTGCCTTCGGCTCAGGTCATGATCCCAGGGTCCTGGGATCGAGTCCCACATTGGGCTCCCTGCTCCTTGGGAGCCTGCTTCTCCCTCTGCCTCTCTCTCTCTCTCTCTGTCTCTCATGAATAAATAAATAAAATCTTAAAAAAAAAAATAACTCAATTCAAAGATTTAAGTGCTGGCTCCCTTTCTGGGCGTTCGGGCCACTTTGCCGTCAACCCGGGCCTGGGACGGAGAACTGAAATCCCCACCGTCACCTGCAGGTGGCGCCACGGGCTCAGAAACGCGTCAGACATGCTGGCGGAGCTGCGGGAACCCTGAGCTGGCAGGGGGAGAGCTGCTGCGGCCGCCGGAGGCCAGGCCAGAGGGCGCCCGGAGGCAGGGCCGACCCGCCGGGATGCGAGACGAATGGCCGGAGCAATATGCCCCTGGCCCCGGAGGCCAAGACTCGCCTCAACCATGCAGGGGCTGTCTAGGCACGTGATCCTTCAAGTTTTTATTTCTGAATCAAGTAAAGGCTCACAGGAAGTTGCAAAACTAGTGCAGAGGGGTCCTGGGCACCCTGCGTCCATGGTGGCTCCTTACACAGCGGGGGGACGCTGTCAAAACCGGGCACGTGACTGATAACCAGGCATCGTTTTCCAGACCATCTCAGGGACATAGTGTTCTCATGCCACAAGGAAGTGCACAATAAAGTGCTTTTTCGTATCCTCAGAGTTGTGCAACTATCACCACTAGCAACTTTCGGGCTTTTTCATCTTCCGTAAAGAAGCCCCGCCCCCATCAACGGTCACTCCCCACCTTCTCCCCCGCCCCGACCCCCTGAGCCCCTTTCCCGTCCGTGGATGAGCCTGTTCTGTGCGTGTCACCCGCGTGGACTCACCCCGCGTGGCCTTCCGTGTCTGGGTCCCTCCCTGAGCGTCCCCGCCCCCATCAACGGTCACTCCCCACCTTCTCCCCCGCCCCGGCCCCCCGAGCCCCCTTCCCGTCCACGGATGAGCCCGTTCTGGGCGTGTCACCCACGTGGACTCACACCCCGCGTGGCCTTCCATGTCCGGGTCCCTCCCTGAGCATCCGCGCCCCCATCAACGGTCACTCCCCACCTTCTCCCCCGCCCCCACCCCCGAGCCCCCTTCCCGTCCGTGGATGAGCCTGTTCTGGGCGTGTCACCCACATGGACTCACACCCCGCGTGGCCTTCCGTGTCCGGGTCCCTCCCTGAGTGTCCCGCACCCATCAACGGTCACTCCCCACCTTCTCCCCAGCCCCGGCCCCCCAAGCCCCCTTCCCGTCCACGGATGAGCCCTTTCTGGACGTGTCACCCACGTGGACTTACACCCCGTGTGGCTTCTGTGTCCGGTTCCCTCCCTGAGCGTCGTGGGCTCGGGGTCCGTCCCCGGGGCCGCGCGTGTGGGTCCCTGGCTCCTGTCCGCGGCCGAGGAACGCTCCCGCGCGTGGGGGACACGCTGTGTGTGTCTGTTCACTACCGATGGGACACTCGGGTGCTTCACCTCCATCGTGAACATAGTGTCATGAATCCTTTCAAAGATGGTTTCTCACTCTTTGCCTTCATGTGTACCAACTGCAAATTTCCCTGCCCCCAGCCCGGAAACACCAGCCTGCACTTGAACTTGAGCACCTCGGCGACCACCTCAGATGCCCCCACCTTGGCTGCGCTCAGCCCAGGCCCGCTTGAGCAACGCAGCCCTGCAGCTCTGTCCCGGGGCCCACGAGACCGCAGGCTGCCAGGTGCGCCAGCCGGCTCCTGGCTGTCCCTGTGACCTTCACCAGGCAAAAACGCTGGGCTTTCACTTTCCCCGTCAGAGGGAACCACAAGCCCTCCCGAAGGGCCAGCAGCGGTCCTGCACGAGGAGCTGGACCCGGCAGCAGGACCTGCTTCAGAATTTGCAGAGCTGGCAGCCAAATGGATCTGGGATCCCTCGTTCAAAAGTTATGCCAAACTTGAAGAGAACTACGGCAGAGCCTGCAGACCCCACGCAGACCCTGGCCCGAGGCGCTGCCAGGGAGGTAGGCAGACCTCAGACACACACAAAGAAAGCTCTGGAGGAGTGCCCGGTGCCGAGGGAGAGATAAATCACACCTGGAAACAGTTTCCAACGGTGGCCATCGGGGCGCCCGCGTCAGAAGGACCACCACCATTTGTCCTGGGGTGCACTTCTCACAACCTGGGACCCTCCTCTTGTCCACACACTTCCCTCCTCTTTCCCTTTCCTTTACATGAGATCGAATTCGCCGACCATGACATTCACCCTTTCAAGTGTCCAATTCGGTGGCTTTTAGGATTTCTGCACTAACTCCTGGATGCGGTCCTCAGCCCCCGAGGGGCCCCCGGGCCGTGCCGGGGTCCAGCCCAGTGTCCCGGGAGGTGCAAGACCCAGCCGTGCAGGGGCTGCACCCCACGCACACAGCACACAGCCATGACCCTGGGGTTTCCTGACCCCCAGTCGGTGCTAAGGGAAGGCCTGCGGAGCCCGGGGGCAGCCGGGGGAGACCAGGCAGCCCCCACAGAGCTGGGTGGCAATGGCCAGGTCCCCCCGGAGGCTTGGCTGTGACTCGGGAAGGGCCGGAACCCCGCTGCAGCCTGTGGGACAGGCCCAGGGGCTCGGTGAGCGCAGGGGTGGCTGGAGAGAGCCTGGTCATGCAGGCCCCCGTTCTTGGCCATCAGCGGCATCATCTGTCAATGGGAAAAGGGAAGACAAAACACACGGATCACAAGCCAAGGGCGCTCCAGGGGCTTCCACCAGTAATTTCCCGGCGGTTTCTACTTCCCTCGTCATTCTGAAGCCTAATGTCTCTGAATGGTGAGTGGGGGACACGGGCAGCGGGACCCTTAGCTCCCAACCCTGGAGATTCGAAACTCCCAAAAGCAGGGCCGTGAAACCGGATGTCAGGGGAGATGACAGGCCGACCCCTGATGAAGGAATCGCGTTGGGCCGCGCCCCTCAGAGCCTATGGTCAGCATCTCTGGATTAAGGAACTGAGGAGCCGGCCCCAACTGACACGTGACGTCTCATCTGGGAGGAAGGCGCATCGCAACCCACTGTGCTCGGTCAGAGCCTCCGGGATTCTTCCAGAGGGCTGGCACAGCCCTGCTTTGTGCAAACACTACTGTCCCTCCCTCTAGAATTCAGGGTCCCCCCTGAATCATTCTCTGTGGGGGTGGGGGTTGGGGGCACCCCGGCGCCGGGGGGACCGAGCAGCATCCCCCAGGCGCTCAATGCCACGACGACCACAGAGTCCCTGCAGGGAGGAGGGGGCGCGCTGCTCGACAGCCTGCCCAACAGCTTCCTGAAGCTTCTATTTGAGGTTCCGTGCCCAACTGGACACACTAGCCATGAGCTGCTGCCACCTCTGAGTGCCCTGTCCCCTCCTGGGGGGTAAATCCCTTTTTGGGTAGCACCGTGTTACCAATCTCCCGGGCCGGGGGAGGGGTGGGGCAAAGACTGAACCTGAACATCAACTAGGACTTCGGTTAACGGTCACATATCAATATCGGTTCATCGATGACAACAAATGTGCGGTGCGAGAGCAAGATGGAAACTACGGGGAAATGTGGAGGGGGCGGGGGCTATGCGGGAACTCTATTTTCTGCTCAGTTTTTCCATAAACCTAATGCTACTCTAAAAAGCAGTCTATTAAGAGAGGGTCTTGAAGAGACAAATTAGAATTCCGATTTTAGAAAGGAGGAAGGGAGCAGGGAGGGGAGAGGGAGCCCGTCTTAGGCCAGATGATCACTAAGTGCTCACATTTCACCAGTGATTCCTTCAACGAGCTGTTATGAACCAGACCCAGAGAGAAGCTGGGTCCGTCCTGGCCAAATGCATTTCCTACTTGTCCCCCCAGAGCTCTTGCGAGTATTGTTAACAATATAGTTTGGTGAGGATCAGCCTCTCCTGAATGCTCAGGCCTGGATTAACCTACACCAGAGCCATCCCCCAGGCCCAGGGACCAGAGTGGACCAGAGCCCTAATAGAATCAGTCCCAAACCTCTGCCCTCGGATTACTCCCAAATCCCATTTGGCCAACGGAAAGCCTATTGCGGCCGGTGATGAGCTGACTTCTGCAAGATGGCATCAAGCAGACCTCACCGTCCGAGACACCCAGGGGACCCTGACACCAACATGGTCAATACCGGGGCCCTGACAGCAGGGCCGTGACGCCGACGGGGCCTGATCAGCGGAGAGCTGATTCACCTGCCGTCAGCACGGACTCACCCGACGTCCTCACCTAGATGTTTGGTCAACCATCACAGGGGTCTAATGGTAAGCACTGAGCAGTGGATTTTTCATTTTCTTGTTTTCCCAACACCTATTGGCCTGATGATGTGGGGAGACACAAGAGCCCAATGGGACACGAGAAATTCAACGAGGGGAGAGCAGCCTAACAACAGGGGTGAGAAAAGGAAATCTTTGTGATT